ATGTTGCTTTTCAGATTGTTGGGTGAATTCTTGCATTGGCGCCTGCCCATCTCTTCCTCCGAATGCTCCCCTATGGACTCTTCTTTTACAGGATCAGGTCTCCTTGCCTACTGATGTACCTTCCCAGTGATGGCTCTCCCCAGTGATGGCTCTCCTGGTGCCGAGATCAGATCTCCATGCCCAATGATGGCTCTCCCCAATGCTGGCTCTTCTGGCGCAGAGATCAGGTCTCCGTGCCCAATGTTTGCTCTCCTGGCGCCGAGATCAGGTCTCCGTGCTGGTTGGGTAGCTCGTAAACAAAGCGCCTACCTTGCTTGGTGAAGGCAGGCTAGTGAATCAAAGGAACTCCCGCCCGCTTGGTTGCCCTGAGGATTCGGACGGACCCAGCACCCAGACAGGCTGGGCTGGGTGATGTTATGTGCCGAAAGAGGGCAGGGGGGCCGAGGTGGGGAGGGTTCTGGATGCAAGCTGGGTGGGATAGGAAGAAAGAGGCAGTATGCAGGGAGTAGAGGCTCTGCAGAGAGCCCAAGAAGGATAGGGGGTTGAGGAACTTCTGAGTTCCCTGTCCCGGCCGCGGGGTCAGAAACTCACCCCAATGTTTGCTCTCCTGGCGCCGACGATATTCATATATTTTGTCTTCATTTGAATTTTTATTTTCCAACATTTCCTCTCTGTAGTTGAACTTTCAGTTCTCCTGCCTCAGGAGAATGTTCTACATTGAGCTAAGAAAAATCTCTGTGCTGCTACTCTTGGGTGGAATGTAGTGTGGATGTACTTCTAAGACTATTTGCTTCTTAGTGTTGTTCAAGTCTTTTATCTCACTGTTAAATTCTCTCTAGTATCCTAACTGCTACTGAAAGTAGTTATTGAAATCTTTAATTAGTATTATGAATTGTCTATTGTGTCTCTGTGGCTTTTTGCTTCATGTAATTTTTTTTCTGATCTTAGTCGATTTTAAGAGCTTCCCACTACAATCAACCCTTTGATCTATAGTAAGCGTACTTTAGCCTGTAAGGTTTTTGGTTTAAAGTGTAAGATGGCGCCCACCTGGACCACTGTATCCACATAATGCCTGAGACAGCTTGGGAAGTAATTCTAGAACTAAAGAACAGCATTATGCATGGCTTCTCAGTAGCAGCAATTTCTCGGGTCTGCTCTGTTCGCTAGAGGCAAGGAAGCACTCTCATTTAAGAGAGGCTTCCTCACTCAGCTTTAGCTGCATAACCTTGCAGTTCTTTTAAGAGGTCCTGCCACCATACACTTACATAGTGTTGATGAAAAGCTGACATCATGCTTTTTGGTTTTCAACCGTAGCAGGAAAAAGCCACACTATTTTAAAATGCCAGCTTTCTGCACCATTCTGCCAGGGCAAACTCAGACTCTTTCAGGCAGGCAGTCCATGGGATAAAACCGGACTCGCTGAACATAGCGGACAATGAGGACTACTGAGAACTCAAGAACAATGGCAATGGGTTTTTGATCCTACTGCATGTACTGGCTTTGTGGGAGCCTAGGCAGTTTGGATGCTCACATACTAGACCTGGATGCAGGTGGAATGGATGGTCCTTGGACTTCCCACAGGGCAGGGAACCCTGATTGCTCTTTGGGCTGATGAGGAAGGGGGACTTGATGGGGAAGGGGGAGGGAAATGGGAGGCGGTGGTGGGGAGGAGGCAGAAATCTTTAATAAGGAAGAAAGAAAGAAAGAAAGAAAGAAAGAAAGAAAGAAAGAAAGAAAGAAAGAAAGAAAAAATAACTAGGAACTGCATTTGAGGGGACTATATTACAAAGGGAGGCAAATGACGTGTGATAACACAAAATAACTTTGAAAGAAATTTTTCGATAAGATTTTACAATGAAATAACTCTTTGTCCCAGTGTTTGTGAATGAGAAAGCATTTTTTTTTGCTAGACTTGAGAACAGTTCTAAGACTTTAGGGTGACAGTGAGAACATAAAATAGAAGACAGAGGAAAATTTGGCTGTTGGTGGCATAACAGGGTATTTGCATGCAGGGCACTTTTGACAAAGTAGCACAGACTCAGTGGCTTAAACAACAATACTTATTTTCTCAAAATTGTGAACTTCCTAAGTTTAAATAAAGGGTTTATCTGTATTCAGGGCATTTCTCTCGGCTTCTAAATGTTGGTCTCCCTTTCTGACATCAGGTCACCTTATCTGAGTGCCTCTGTATTCTGATTTATTGTAAGAACTATAATAAATATATATATATATATATATATAATATATATTAATAAATATATATATATTATATATATAATATATATAATAAATATATATATAAATAAATAAATATAAGAACATTGGATTACAACAGATATACATGATTGAATTTGCCTTAATTACCTCTACAAAGACCCAATCTCCATAAAAAGTCACATTCTTAGGGGCTAAGTTCTGAGATATCAAAATATAAGTTGATGAAGACATAATTCAGTCCTTAACCCGAGTTCCTAGATTAACACCCACTCCATTTGCCAGGCGGTCCAAAAAATACTCCATTTATTGAAAAAGAAAACCTACTTTATTTGGTTTTACTTAAATGTAGTAGAAAGCATCCTCATATAACATCTAATATTATTTCCAGAATTACAGGCTGTGTACCACAAAATATACATAAACTGAAAGTACAGAAAAATGAATCATACCCATAGCATGTTTGAGCACCTAACCCAAGTTGTTTACAAGTTGAAATCACAATGACAATGATTTAGAGGTAAAACAAGCCTGTATTTCTTTAAAACCGGTAGTTGGATCTAATGTACACATATATACTATTTTAAAGAAACACGAGTAGCCCGTTGATGGTGGCAAGTGCCTTAAATACCAGCACTGGGGAGGCAGACACAGGCAGATCTCTCTGAGTTCGAGGCCAGCCTGGTCTATAGAGCAAGTTCCAGGACAGCTAGGACTGTTACACAGAGAAACCCTGTATTGAAAATCAAAAACAAAAGAAAGGAAGGAAGGAAAAAGAAAAAAAAAACTAAACACACAACAGGTGTGTTTGTCAGTATGTTATACTAAGAAATTAACCCTGTGCCTAATGTAATTGAACTGAGTCGCACACTGGGTTTATGTGGCACTGGATATCCACATCATCATAAGCAAAACTCATTTGTATATAATATGATGTATTATTTATGACCAAACTTAGTGAGTTTTGTGTTTGCATGTGAATTTGACATTGTCAGTGAGGGGCACAATTAAGAAACTACTGATGGGTAAGAGAGCATCCAGAGGCATCTAAAGAATCCAGAGCAGTGCAAAAAGGAAAGAGACCAGACATAGCCAAGGCTAGGAAAGCAGGGCATGGACCAGGAAGATGAGTAGCTGAGGGTAGGGAACCTGGGATCTGGTGAGGCCTGGCAGTTTAGGATAGATGTGGAAGTGAGGAAGGCCAGGAGCCAGGTGCTTCAACGTGTTTCACAAATCTCTGACTCTAGACTGGCATGGCTTGAAGGCCAGCAAGGACTGTGGGATGCAATCATAGGTGTCTGTCACTGTGGAGCCATTTGACCCTCCAGGCAGAGGCAAAGAAAATGACTCCTTTTAGCTGACAAGCCAGTTTCACTAGTTCCTGAAGAATGTTGACTTTTATCTATCTACCAGAAATCTTGAGTTCAGTTTGAACTTAATTTAGGCGCAATTTTGGACCAAAGCAGTGGCCCTGCCTTTTGGGGGAGAAAGGGGCATATTTTGGACCTTACTATATAACAAATAATTTAAAGAACTTCTAAAGTATCTGAAGCAAAAAAGTAGAAAGGTGGAGCTAAAGAGTATGAGAAAGTCAACAAAAATAAAAGGACTTTGAAGGAACCACAGTAACGAAAACTGGACAGAAAAGAAATGCAAGAGGAGATACAGATCAGAGAGAGAGAGAGAGAGAGAGAGAGAGAGAGAGAGAGAGAGAGATTGATTGAGAACAAAAAAGAAAAAAATCCCACCACCACCAACAAAAAGCCCTGCAAAAGAAAGCATAAAAAGGGTGAGACAAATTAATATACAGAATGAGAGAAGAGCAGCAGCTTCTGGAATTCCAAGGTGACAGGGCAGCTGCCTGCATGGGAGGAAAGCTGAAGATGCCAAGAGCCCACCAGCCTCAGGACACCACGGGTCCTCCAGTCATCTGTCCTGCCACCCTTTGAGGCAGCCCTGGAGGGCAGATGGATCATCCCTTTGGCCTTCTGGGAGCATCGCCAAGGCTGGTGCCTTTGCTGCGGGCTTTAAACAGAAGTAGCAGCAAGGTATCCAATATGGGCATACGGAGCCCTGGACCCCACAACAGGACGCCTATGGGTAGGCGAGCTTCTAGGTGGGTTCCAGGCCTGAGCGGGGGAGGGGGGCACACAGAGCGGGCAGGGGAAACAGAGTAGCAATCCTAGGGCACGCAGAGGGCACAGGGAGGACATCCGCAGCAGACAGCAGGAACTGGGCAATAAAAGACCAGTGCAGATTCGGAAACCAGTTCAGAGAAGCCCAGAGATGGGTACAGGGGAGCAGCCTTTGTAGTCTGCAAGAGCTGTGAGCCTCAGGCTGGATGCTCAGCAAACTGAGGTGAAGGGCAAGGTGGAGGAAGGAGAGGAGCTTTGCCCCTCTTCTCCGCTCTGCATCCAAAGGGCCACAAAAGGCACAGGGCGCGGTGAGCGGGGGGGCACGGGGCAAAGGGCACATGGCTCGGGGCATGGAGCGCGCGGCAGTGACGGTTGGGCTTAGGCGTCGCCATTTTCGGCATCTCGGAGGTCCAAATCCTGTTCCATATCCGCTGCCCCGCTGAAGGTCTCCAGCCCGTCACAACAGAACCAGGGAACCCAGGAGAGCACAGCACATCAACAGGCACCCAGCCAGGTGTCCAGCTTTGCCGTCAGGTTCCCGGGGGTGATGGTGGGAGACGGTTAGAGAACAGATCCCTGGAGTGGAGGCATCTAACGGGGCGGGGCCATGAGTAAGCTGACCCTTTATCTCTTCCTGTTTCCCCAACACAGCCATGGACCCAGGCACCAGCACCCAGTATTTCTGCACCACTGAGGCCCAAGGGGAACCCGCAGATGCAGGTGCTGGACATGAGTTCTGTGACAAGATCGCCAAGACCGAGACTGCAGATTTGACCAAGAAAACACCTGCACAGAAGAGGCAGAGGAACAGATCTTCATCCCTGGCCCAAAGGAACATCGTGGGCCACAGAATCTCTCACAAGTGGAAGGAAGGGGATGGGCCCATCACCCATTGGAGAGGAACGGTTCTCCATCAGGTTCCTCTTAATCCCCCTCTCTATCTTGTGAAATACGATGGAATTGGTTGCGTCTATGGGTTGGAACTTCACCAAGATGAAAGAGTGTTGTCCCTTAAGGTGCTCTCTGATACAGTCAATCCATCCCCACTCCCTGATCCTAACTTTGCAGATACCATAATTGGCAAAGCGGTGGAGCACTTGTTTGAGGGTGAGCAAGGTGTAAAAGATATTTGGAGGGGGATGGTTCTGGCCCAAGCTCCTATACTTAATGCCTGGTTTTACATTACCTATGCAAATGATCCCACCTTATACATGTACCAGCTTCTGGATGATTATAAAGAGGGCAACCTCCGTATCCTGCCAGAATACAATGAGATTCCTCGACCAGATTTAAGACTGAAATTTAAGGATGGGCTGATAGGCAAGATTGTGGAATATACCCAAGACGACGGTTCTAAAAGGACCGGCAAAGTGATTGGTGAAGTAGAAGCCAAACCATCGGTGTACTTGATGAAATCTGACGATGATGTTCATATCCATGTCTATGACTTAGTGAAATATGTCTAATTGGCAAAGTTGTGCCACAACTATTGAAATAAAGTTGTCATTTTTAGACGTTCAGTGCCTGTTGCTTTTAAGTGTGTTGGGAGCTCACCATGGGCATAAGTTTGTCCTGATGGATACACATTTCTGTGTGTATAGCATGCTGTCTGTAAGCACTTTGCCTTGTGGAAAACACTGGGTGTGCTTGCTGGGTGGAGCAGGGAAGGAGGGAAGAGCTGTCAATTCAGCCTGTGAGAGAAGGGAGCTAGTATCATCTAAAAATGGAATGGGACTTAGCAGATCTGAATCTGTGGGGAGGAGGAGAAGGAAATGGAGTTGGGCTGTGGAGGAGAGGACTGCCTAGGGAGAAGTGAAGGGGAGCCAAAGTGTGAGAGAGGCTCCCTGTGGGTGAGATAGAGTGAAGGAAGAAACGTGGATTGGGAAGGGTAAGAGGGGTAACAGAGTGAAGTCTTCTGGCACCTTCTGGCTTTCAGAAAACCAAAGGAACTCCTGTAGGAGAATACACATAGCAGTGTGAAGAGGGACACAGGAAGGGTAGGAAAGGTCTGCTGGGCAGGGAGGTCGCTGAGGAGAGCCTCTGAGACTTCAGAGGTCAGGGGGACCCACACATCCCACACATAGGTCATGGTACACTATAGGCTTAACTGGAAGGAGCTTTACAAGAAGAATCGCCTGATACATCTACCTTCTACTGTCTGGTTCTCCATAGTGGCAATGGTCAGCTGTCAAGCAAAGCACCCATGTTAGAGGATCACTAAATGTCCTTTCTAAGGGCCTACTGGGAAAACGAAAGGCAATGTCAAGATTTTATCTACATATCAGGATTGTCTGTTTTCAGAGAGTCTGACACAGTCTGGAGCCTAAGCAACTAACGAGAATTCATGGCTAGCTCTGGGCAAAGGGAAAGTACTTTCTTTGGGAAAATGGATCCATGGTGAATCCAGAAATAGCAGTCCTGATACTGTCCTTCTGCTTGCCGGAATCGTCCTTGCTTCCCTGGGAGGATGGGGCATGTGATGGCTATGCCTGATGTCTCCATGGTATAGAGAGAACGTGGCTGTCCATGCTGTCACAGATGGCTGGCTCCATTCAGTACCCAGGCAAAGGGAACCTGCCATTCTTTGGGCATCGCATTCTGGTTAGACTCCGTGAAAATCCTGTAGCAACTGATATTGTCTAGGTACGTCCTACCCAAACCAGGTTCCCCTTCCTTTTTATACTCACAGCTACCCCTGATGGAGATGTGTGCACCTCTCTTTTGCAAGAGGGTGGTATTACCTGGGGGTGGGGGTAGGGCTGGGGATTGTGGCTTTGCCTAACTAACTCCTTTTGCAGGAAACTGCCCTTTGGAAGGGCTGGGCTCTCTGAGAAGAGGAATCGGGAATGCCAGGAAAGTGTCTCACAACTGTGGAGTTCAGGACATGGGTCTCTGTCCTCCTCTTCTGCTCTCTGTTGTCATTTCCCAACCGTCCAAAGTCCCTCTGAGAACACTGTGTGTGCTCTGCCTCCTCCTTCACCTGTTGCCTCCCAAGAGAACTGTGTTTCTGGTTCATGCTGTGGGGGTCTTCCTAAAGGCACACTTGGAGCAAGCAAGGATCTGACAGACATTGAAAGAAAGTGCTAAACCTCATCGATGCTCACCACCGGGCAAGCGTTGACTTTATAGATTGATTGCCTCAAGAATGACACACGACAAGCACACCTCACAAGGGCAGCCTTAGTTGTCTTTCCTACATCATGTGGTTTTTCTCAGACAACACCAGCAGTTCCTCTGGGGAGCACTTCTGCCAGTTTCCATGTTTTGTGGTTTGGTTGTGGTTCTGCTGTGTTCTGCATCTGGTTAGACTTGTGGTAAGTTCATATCACATAAATGCCCTGGGATAAAAGCCATCTCCCAACAGGGATACAAGGAAGGAAGGGTTGACAACATTTTCACCTTGGAAAGGTCTTATTTTTATTTTTTTAATGTCTTCAGTTGATTTATTTGTGCATTGAAATTTAGGAAATATTCAATTCTCTGTTTTCCCACACAACACTATAGGGCATCTTTGAAATATCTCTTGTGTCAGGACAGCAGAAGTAAACATTAGCAGTCCATTTCTCAAATTCCTTTGTTTGCACTTTCCCTCTATTTTCATGACCTTTTTATTGTCTCAGAGAATTAATTTTATTACTTAATTTTTATATTTAAAATTATAACACAATTTCATCATTTTCATATTTCTTTTCCCCTCCACTAATCATTTCCATGCACCCTCCTTGCTGTCTCTCAAATTCTTTTTTTCCAGGTTTTTATTATTTTTTTATTGAAAATTTACACCTCCTCCCCTCTTCCCACTTCCCTTCCTTCCCCCCTTCCCCTCCCTCTCCAGTCCTAAGAGCAGTCAGGGTTCCCTACCCTATGGGAATTCCAAGGTCCTCCCTGCTCCCCCCATGTCCAGGAAGGTGAACATCCAAACAGACTAGGCTCCCCCAAAGCCCGTCCATGCAGTAAAATCAAAACCCAGTGTCATTGTCCTTGGCTTTTAGTCAGCCTCCACTGTCAGCCACATTCAGAGAGTCCAGTTGGATCACATGTTCCATCAGTTCCAGTCCAACCTGCCTTGGTGATCACCCATTAGATCTGTCCCACCGTCTCAGTGGGTGGACACACCCCTCACAGTCCTGACTTTCTTGCTCATGTTCTCCCTCCTTTTGCTTCTCATTTGGACCTTGGGAGCTCAGTCCAGTGCTCCAATGTGGGTCTCTGTCTCTATCTCCATCCATTGCTAGATGAAGGTTCTATGGTGATATGCAAGATACTCATCAGTGTGGCTATAGGATAAGACCAGTTCAGGCACCCTCTCCTCAGCTGCCCAAGGAACAAGCTGGGGACATCTCCTTGGACACCTGGGAACCCCTCCAGATTCAAGTCTCTCGCCAACCCTAAAATGGCTCCCTTAATTAAGATATCTACTTCCCTGCTCCCACATCCACCCCTCCTCCATCCCAACCATTCCATTTTCTCAAGCTCCCCCCATCTTACCCTTCTCTTTTCTCTCCCCATCTCCCCTTATCCCCATCCCACCTCTATGCTCCCAACTCCTGCTCGGCAATCTTGTCTACTTCCATTAAACAGGACGATAAATATTCTTCTTCTTTGGGTTCACCTTCTTATCTGGCTTCTCTAGGATCATGAATTAGGGGCCCAAATCCTTTGTTTATGGGTAGAATCCACTTATAAGTGATTACACACCATATTCCTTTTTGAAGGTCTGGGTTATCTCACCCAGTAAAGTGTTTTCTATTTCCATCTCTTTGCAGGCAAAATTGAAGATGCCATTGTTTTTTACCTCTGAGTAGAAATCCAAAGTGTATATGTGCCACATCTTCTTTATCCATTCTTCTATTGAATGGAACATAGGTTGTTTCCAGGTTCTGGCTATTACAAATAGGGCTGCTATGAATATAGTTGAACAAATGCTTTTGTAGTGTGATTGGGCATCTCTTGGGTATATTCTCAGTAGTGGAATTGCTGAATCTTGAGGTAGATTGACTCCCATTTTCCTGAGAAACCGCCACACTGATTTCCTAAGTGGTTTCACAAGTTAGCATTCCCACCAACAATGGATGAGTGTTCCCCTTACTCCACATCCTCTCCAGCATAGGTTATCATTGGGCTTTTGATTTTAGCTATTCTGACAGGTGTAAGATGGTATCTCAAAGTTGTTTTGATTTGCCTTTCCCTGATTGCTAAGGAAGCTGAGCATGGCCTTAGTTATCTTTTGGCTATTTGAATTTCTTCTGTTGAGAATTCTCTTTTCAGTTCAGTACCCCATTTTTTAACTTGGTTAATCAGAGTTTTAATGTCTAGTATCTTGAGTTCTTTATATATTTTGGAGATCCGGCTTTTGTCTGATGCAGGGTTAGTGAAGATCTTCTCCCATTCAGTAGGTTGCCGTTTTGTCTTAATGACAGTGCCCTTTGCATTACAGAAGCTTCTCAGTTTCAGGAGTTCCCATCTATTCATTGTTGCTCTCATTGTCTGTGCTACTGGGGTTCTATGTAGGAAGTGGTCTCCTGTGCCCATGTGTTACAGACTACTTCCCACTTTCTCTTCTATCAGTTTCACTGTGCTCAGATTTATATTGAGGTCTTTAATCCACTTGAGGACTTGAGTTTTGTGCATGGTGATAGATATGGATCTATTTTCATTCTTCTACATGTTGACATCCAGTTATGCCAGTACCATTTGTTAAAGATGATTTCTGTCTTCCAGTGTATAATCTTAACTCCTTTGTCAAAAATCAGGTGTTCATAGGTTTATGAATTAATATCCAGGTCTTCGATTCGATTCCATTTGTTTTATTTTTCCATATAGAGAATTGGAAGAATTGCCAGATACCAGAAAATGGAACGAACTCTCATGCTCTTAGATAGGGACCATCAACATAGTAAAAATGGAAATTCTACCGAAAACTTTAAGTCTTTGAAGAAAGAAATTGAAGAGGATATCAGAAAATGGAAGGATCTCCCATGATCCTGGATGGGTAGGATCAACTTAGTAAAAATCGCAATTCTATCAAAGGTAATCTATAGATTCAACACCATCCCCATCAAAATCCCCACAAAATTCTTCACAGACCTTGAGAGAACAATAATCAACTCTATATAAAAAAAAATAAAAAACCCAGGATAGCCAAAACAATCCCATACAATAAAATTACTTCTGGAGGCGTTACCATCCCTGACTTCAAACTCTATTACAGAGCTACAGTAATGACAACAGTTTGGTACTGGCACAAAAACAGAGATGACGACCAAGGGACTCAAATCAAAGACCCGTATATTAATCCACAAACCTATGAACACCTGATTTTTGACAACGGAGCTAAAATTATGCAATGGAAGAAAGAAAGCATCTTTAACAAATGGTGCTGGCATAACTAGATGTCAACATGTAGAAGGATGAAAATAGACCCATATCTATCACCATGCACAAAACTCACGTACAAATGGATTAA